TGTTGGCTCTGGGATGAAAGCTCACGGGTCTGGGAAGTTGATGCAGCAGGCCTGTTGAGAAACTGGAAATCTCGAGCTGACTGCTTTCTTTCTTTCTTGGGCTGTAGATTCAATGACATTAAGGGTCAGGAACACTGGTTCAGGGGATCTCACGAGAACTGGCTTGGGCAGGCTCCCACGGGGGATCTCACGAGAACTGGCTTGGGCAGGCTCCCACGGGGGATCTCACTCGAACTGGCTTGGGCAGGCTCCCATGGTCTCAGGTCTGGTTTATCTCTGCTCTATGCATCTCACCAAATGTTCTGGCAGCCACTGAGCTTTATTCTTTTCCTGCAAGAAAACACAAACACACCCTCAACCCCAAATTAGGGCAGAATTGGGTCTTCTCCACTGTCTAGTACAAAAGTCGAGTTCCATCATGCCAGAATCTGTCTGCAGCAGATTGCTCACTGGTATCCACATTTAAAAAATTTAAAATGAGGAGTGCATGATTTAATGCATCGTGTGGAGACTTGGGTCATTACTCCCCCCCTTCTTTTGAAGTTAAGTTGTGATCAATTTTTTTATTGAGTTCAAAATAGCTGAAATGCCTTACTAGTATATCCAGACCTGTTGTCTGTTTTTTATTATTTTTGGAACTTCCATGTAAGCAAAACATTTTTTAAACAATGACTTATCACATGTTTGGTGGCTTTTCCAGTTTGTATAGTGGCCGTCAAGAAGTCTGAATACCTATCAACTGCCATGTGCACATATTTTAACTTGCCAAATTCTGTAATATGAGTAACAACCATTTGCCATAAATGATTAGGAAGTAGGCCTCAAGGGTTCATTTTTAAATTAGTTAAAGATAAATATTGTGGGCATACCTCATTGTTTGACAATTTTGAGGAGCAGTCTCTCTAGTTAAACAAAATTGCTTTCTTAGACTTTTGCTACTTTAATGGTGAAGGTTATGAGACTGCAGATCTCTCTCTACCTGAGAGAGAGCCACACATTTTGTTAATGTGTTGACTAGTTCCCTTTAGCCAGTGAGCTGGGGAGGTTTGAATGAGCTCTTATGTCATCCACAAAATGCAGCAATTTTCTTAGATGAATTGTATTTTGAATTTGCTCAAACAATATTTTAACCTGATCATTGCTAGTTCCTATGCATTCAACTCTCTCTATTACTTGAAGAGCTTTAAAACACACACACAAATCAAGTGAATCATTTACTAGGAGTTGGAAAACCATTGTGACAGCTTGTAACTTGACTATCTGAGCTGAAGCTGGAGTTGTTCACTCCATGTATTTTTTCTCATCTATAACATAAGCTGCTCTTCTATTAGCAGAACCAGCAGTAGAAACTTACAGGAATTCTCTTTACTATTTTGGAAATACAAAAAGATGTGTTAGTGCAAATTGCAGCAGTCTATGAGCTGGAAACTGATTATCAAGTCTCCCTGAAAATTGAGTAAAAGTATTTTCCCATGAAACAACCAATCAACTTGTTGCTTGGTATAAGGAACATGCATTATACTTTGTTGTCTGACAAAATATCTCCTAGATTCCATATGGCATTTCTGTATTATATCTGATACTGCTTCAAAATAAGGATTTAACACTTTGACTGGGGAGACAGCATAAGCTTCCCATAGTTTTTCACTGTTACTCTTTTTCTAATTCAATCTGTAAAGCTCTCGCTAGTTGATAAGGCCTCTTTTGTATCAGCTAAGATATATGACATGGCCTAATTTGTATCTACACTACTCCTCTGTAGGTGGGGTCTAACAGGGCAGCAGTTTCCCTGAGGCTTCATCTCAAAAGTTTTTTTTCCTCTAGATTTCTTTTTCCAACCATAAAAATTTAGGAGAATTTCTGTATCCTCTCCTCTGCTAAACTCTCTAGAATCATCCATACAGATTTCTTTGGCTCTCAGGCCATATTATAGGCTTCTGTTATTTTTCCACTGACGGGCTCTGAGGACTAAATCGCCAACCTTTCCTGTTAAGACACTGACTGGCTGAATGCTCTTTCTGACTGTATCCAAAGCAATTTAGGTAGCTTCTTAACTATATCTGAAGCAACTTAAGTATCTATTTAGTCATATGCAAGGCAATTTAAGCAGTTCTTTTTGTCAACATTCACAATCATATTTCACATCATATACACAGAACATACATACATCTTTTAGTTATTCTTTTTCCCTAGGTCATGATTAGTTTGTTGAAATGAAACTTCTTTAATTGAAATCTCTTGTGATAGAACAGCTCAAGCCAATCATTGAATCGAAACAAAAGGCCGAAAAAGGCCCTCATGGCCTGAAATTCACCATCTTTCCATTTCCAATCATCAATATTCTGTTGTAGTTAGGCAATTTGAGAGGAGTGGCAAGGGATAACAATAACATCAGTTCCTTTGCCAAAGATTTGCAAACTTATCTTATAAGCCCCAAGAATAAGCTGTATAACTACTTGTGGGTATGCTCTAACTGCCTTAGTAGGAGAGGTCTGATCATGTACCCAAAGAATGGGTCCAATCTGCCAAAAGACCCCAGTGGGAGCATGATTGGAGGGAAAGACCAAAAAGGATAGGGCGATGACCAATTAAAATCAATCTTTTGGAATTCCTACAGGAGTGGGCAAACCTAGTTGTGAGGCACCCATGACCTCACAGTTTTACTGACCTCTCTCAAATCCTGTAACAGGCGCCATTTTCCTAATTTTTTCTTTATAACAAAACTAGGTGTATTCCAAGGGGAGGTCCAGCCTCCAATTGCTCTTGCACCAGCTGATGAGCAGTTTCCAATTTTATTTTAGATAGGAGCCATTGGTCTACCCACACAGGTTGCTCTGACTTCCATGTGATTGGAAAAGGCTGTATGGGTGGAGGCTTAGTCACAATGGCCCCAGCTAAAAATGTCCCAGTACTGTCCAATCTCCCAACTTACGAGTAACCGGATTTCTTAAAGCAACTGGTAGAGTGTTAATAACTGGTTGAGTGGTAATAACTGCTCCCATATCTTGTTGAAAAAGTCCTGTGTGCCCCTCATTATCTCTCCATTTGAGAAGCTGTACCCACTCCTTGTAATGTGGCGCGGACAATGGTAGCCAATCACTGGGAGTACAGTTTAAGACTAACCATGGACAGTAATTGGTTAACTGTTCCACCCGAGAATTTTTAAATGTTTTTTCAAGGTCAGCCATTTGTTCCTTTATCTTGGCACTATCACTCAATATGGCATCTTTCACTAATCTCCAAAGGGGAAAGGCGGCAATAGGAAAACTTTCTGGCCCCTCTTTCTGAAGAGCCCTTTGGAGGTCATTTCTAACTTGTTCCCAATCAGGGATACTAAGCCCTCCCAAATGCAAAAACCATGAACTTGTCTTTTCCAAAGTTAAAATCTTTAGCTGTCTTTCGCTCGATGCTGGTACCTTTTCTCTTTAACAATTTTACTAACTGTTCTGTCAATACAGCCTTAGAAGCGGAGGTACCCATTTTCCAATACATCCTCACAAATCCTTACCTGCTGGCCAGCCTTCAAGGACGATCTCTCTGGGTCCCCTTTCTTTCCTGATCTCGGTGTCGGGCAAAAGCCTGGAGATTTAACTTGGTACCTGTAACTTGGTACTCCTTTTCAATTCACCCTCATAACTTCTGAGGGCGATCTCTCATATTCTCCCTTCTTTCCCTATCTTGGTGGGTTGGGCAAAAGCCTGGAGACCAAACCATTCAATTTTACTGTTAGAAGCTGAGGTACCCATTTTCAATTCCTTTCTTTCCCGAGTCTCTTTTCCAATCTCCTTTCTTTCCCAGTCTTTCCAAGTCTCTCCAGATCTCAGTGGAACCTTCACTTGTGGCACCTGCACCATGAGTGAGTCTAATACATCCGGTGAAAGCCTGGAGATTGAACTGAAAGACAAGACGTCCGGTTGTTTGTGCTGAGAGGTCTCTCCTTTATTGTGGAGAGGGAGCGGCCTTATATACAGGCTAACAGCACAGTGGAAAAACCCCAGGTGGAAGAGATCGTGTTTTCTTGGTACTAGATGTTGATGTCAGTGGGGCAAGTCTGGGGCAGTAAGCCAGAACTAGAGAACAGGATGCACTTGGACTGGAAAACAGGATGCACTTGTTGGCTGACCAGCGACTCACAGAAACCCCATGGGGGCTGGGGCCCAACAACTAGGGGTGGTAGAAAGGAAAGCTGGGATCACGTAGGGGGTTCTCACTCTCATGGAGGGCACCTACTAATGATCACAGCCCAGAACCTCAGTGTGTTAATTATGTACAACCCGGGGGGGGGGGGGTTAGCTTGTCCTCCTAGGAGGAGGTCTCTGTAGCTGAGCAGTCTCAGGCTGCAAACAAGGTAGAGGAGAAAGCTGTAGTTGCTATTCTTTGCACACACTCTCTCACACTTGGACTCCCACGGAAAGCTATTGAGCCTCACGTGCTAATCTCATGGGGCCGAGGTATTGGAGCCCTCCATGCGACTATAGTGTCAATAGTCCACATTCACTCAGGGTTTCCTCTGCTCCCTACAGCAGTGAAGAAACCCGTACAGTAGAAATGATCGATGATTCTATTAACATCTCATACTCATTCAGACCCAGGCAAACTAGCCTGTCTTTATCAGTCACCAGGATAACTGAAACTTTTTGAGGACCTGCAACTCTGAAGAGGGTCAGCTATATAGTCCTTTGATGATGTTTTCTAGTTCACTGTGGGAGCCCTGCCTTAGACAGTTGTTGGACCTTTCCCCAAGGAAATAATTTCAAATATGTACAATCTTCAAGTTTTCTTGCCTATAAAACTAGTGCTTTCAAACCAAGCATTTAAAGAAATAATAAATTACTCATTTGGGAACAATAATCTCTTGTCAAACTCAAATTTAAAAGGAATTACTATGATCACATAGCCCTAGTTCCTGGAATGGTTCCGACCTAGCTACATGGGTTTCTTTGTAAAGATGAACAAATTCATGATGTCCAGAATTCTCTCTGTTCAACATTTTTCAGGTACTAAGATCTAAGCATTATCTTCCTCAGGGCTCCTTTGATGTCATGATTTCTCAGGCTATAGATGAAGGGATTGACCATGGGTGTCACCACTGTGAAGATAACAGTGGCCACTGTGTCCTGTACTGTGTAGGTGGATGAAGGGTGCATATAGATGCCCAGGATTGACCCATAGAAGAGAGAGACCACAGTGAGGTGAGACCCACAAGTGGACAGGGCTTTCCTTATTCCATGGGCAGATTTTAACTTCAGAACCTTAGAGAAGATGTAGGCATAGGAAACAACAATGCATGTAAATGGGGTCAGAAATACCAGCCCACCAACGGTAAAGACCATCAGGTCATTGACGAAGGTGTCAGAACACGAGAGCTTCAGAATCGGGTAGGGGTCACAGAAGAAATGCTGTACAGCATTGCGGGAACAGAAGGTGAGACGAACCATGAGGAGAGTGTGCAAGAGAGCGTGCAGGTTGGTGATGACCCAGGATATGGCCACCAGGAGGACACAGAGTCTGGGCCTCATCATCAGGGTGTAGTGGAGAGGGTGACAAATGGCCACGTAGCGGTCATAGGCCATCACACTCAGGAGGAAGCCATCCATGTTGCTAAACGCTATGAAGAAATAGATCTGGGTCATACACTCTGTGTAAGAGATGGACTTACTTCCCAACACATGATTCACCAGTGCCTTGGGAACAGTGACAGATGGAGCACTAATGTCTACACTGGAGAGGTTGGCCAAGAAGAAGTACATGGGTATGTGGAGATGAGGGTCACAGCTGATGGCCAGCATGATAAGAAGGTTCCCAGAGATGGTGACTAAGTACATCCACAGGAACATCCCAAACACAATCTCTTCTTTGTCTGATTGTCCAGAGAGTCCCAGGAGGAGGAATTCTGTGACCATTGTCTGATTGTCCCCATCCATGTCTGTGGAGAACAGTTTTATCATACAGTCAGATTAGTTACTAACATTCCAGCAAAAACACGTCGTTTGAAACAATTTAGTGATAGGTTGAGAACGACCTAAAACTGAATTGTCCCTTTTGTTATCTTAAACAAGGTCTTGGGTAGTTTCAACACGTTTTACTTATGAATGCCTGTAGTTTTGTAAATTACTCCTATGGGCTTGTTTCAAAGTTGTTTGCCTTCTTTTACAATATTTAAACTTAGTCTAATGATTGAGGTGATATTATTCACTTTATAGATAATTATCTTGTAATTAATCAATTGCATATTAGAAAGGAGAACTCAACATAATCTTGTGATTTTCCTTTTACCATATAAACACACACCTATGTATATGTGCTTTGCAAGCTATATGTTTTTTGAGACAGGATATTTATATGGCACCCAGGCTCTTTTTTTGTTTGTTTGCTTTTTTTTGTTGTTGTTGTTTTGTTTTTACGAGACAGGGTTTCTCTGTATTGTTTTGGAGGCTGTCAGAGATTCGCCTGCCTCTGCCTCCCGAGTGCTGGGATTAAAGGTGTGTGCCACCAATGCCCGGCCCCAGGCTCATCTTGATATGATAGAATCAAGCTATCCTCCCATATTAGGCTTCTCAGCACCGGGTTCTGGCTATCTTTCTGCTATATTTCATACAGCTGCCATTTATTGACATTTTAACTGCATGGCAAACTGTTTATTAAATGCTGCCTACAAATGTGCAGATTGTATTTGAAGCTCTGCTGTGTTCTCAGAATTTGGGATGTTCCTGGGTGTTATAGGTCTGTCTATCGTTTTAAACCCTCAGCGTTTTATCTACCATAAAGCTGTTTTCACTGTCGTTCACTGCTTTTGGTTCACTACTCCAGCTCTGTACAAGCTCCTCCCACTACCTACATCCCAAGAAAAGAGCAGGTACAATTGTATGAATATTTCTTAAGGATTTATTTTATTTCCTTTAGCTACGCGTGTCTCGATGTGAGTGTGTGCAAGTGAGCTCTACGTGCCTGTAGAGCCAGAAGCGGGTGTTGGATCCCCTGGATGGTAGTGAGCTGTCTAACATGGGTGCTGTGATCTGAACTTGGGTCCTCTGCAAAAGCAGTGTGTGCTCTTAACTGCTGAGCTGTCTCTACAGCCCCTGGGTTATTTTTCTCTGGAAGAAAGAGCATTACTGATTGGCAAAGAGAAAATTCATGCAGTGTACTTAAAAGATACTCTCAGCAGAACAAATATCCAGAAGCAGGGGTCAGGTTAAAAAAAAAAAAAAGACTACAGCATCCTTGGGAGAATAGTTGGTGTTTCTGCAGGAAAGGGGAGGAAGTGTCTTCCTCTAGAGATCAAGAGTTGGAAAGAGAAAAATCAAGAAGCTGCAGGGAGAAGCATATAGAGAACCCTTGTTGGTGATTGGTCAAAGATTTATGTATTGTGGAGACAATGAGGTGCCTATTACTGTGAGTAAAATTAGTACAGAGTACAGTGCAGACATGTGAATTCGTCTTACCTGGACTAACTTCTAAAACCAAGGTAGCTAGCTAGAAGAATGGCATCCATGTAGCTTGAGCAATTCCTTATGTGATCAGAGATCACAGTGGATGAACATACAACAACAAAACATAGCAAGGCAGGGATTTGGAGCATCTTACTGGAGACTATCTTTTAGTGGGGAAGAACTCTCTTTCTCTATCTCTCTCCCTCCCTCGCTTCCTCCTCCTCTCCCTCCCCCATCCTCTCCTTTACCCTCTTCTTCCTCCTTCTCTACCTCCTCATTCCTCCCACATCTTGGGTGTGCACATCTGGCCAAGCGCCTCAGTAAACTGCAGTCTCTGTGCCTCTCCCTGCTATCATTAAATTGCCTGATTCCTTGTCTGGAACTATGTCTTGCAGAGAGACCGCCCTGTTTCTGGTAATCATGAAGGGTTTGAGTGTAGACCAAGAAGCTTTTCCTCTGATCCCAGACCTGGTTTCTCTCATCGGTGGCCTTGTCTGCTGCTGAGGTAGTAGTGCCTCACCTGCTTGGCCAGCCTGCCTTTCCCACTGCTGTCTGTGCTATTGGTGGCTTTCACACAATTTCCACATCTGTGGATTCCATGCTCGATGCTGGATTTGTCCCAATTCATTTGTGTGCCGTTTCACCACTGAAGAACATCTAGGAAGAGATGCATGGCTCTCTAGGGTCAAGTTTTAGTGATGAGAGTAAATAGACCCACCATCCCTGGAGATCAGAGTTGCCATGACTATGGATGACACATTGGGGCACCCCTAGGGCCCTTTACTCAGAGGTCCCCATTAGGGACCCACGCTAAGTGCTCCTTGTTTGCATTCTGTCTGAACACTGAAAACACTGTCATGAACTCAATCCCTGTGAAACAGTTGTACAAACATGGCCACCTTGCCTCCCTTTCCTTTGGTGTTCTTTGAGAGGGGGAGCAGAGAGGAGGATGCAGTGTCATGATGAAGTAGCTTATACACCAAAGCCAGCTGCCAACTCCATGAGAAGTGTAGAAAGCACAAATAGAAGCAAAAACCCTCAGAAATACAAGTTCTACTGTTCTTTTTATTTTAATGTTTTAAGTGTATGTGTGTTTGCCTTGTAAGTCCGTATGTCACATGTGCAATGAAAGAGGAGGCCAGGAGAGTTACTGGGACTGGAGTTATGACAGTGAAAAGCACTGTGTGGGTGCTGGGAGTCCATCCTGGGTCCTCTAGAAGAACAGCAAGTGTTCTTAACCCGTTAGCATTCTCTCCAGCCCAAGTGTTTACTATATTTATACTTCTACTGGGCTGCTAAAGTATTTGTCAAAATGTGGTCACTTTTCAAGCCCCAAATAATGATGTGATGATGACCCTATTGTCACTGGATAATTTTGTCCAGTTATTATCAGTTAATGTGATCATGCTGTTTTCAATCTTTTTATTTTGTTTTATTGCTGTGGTGGGGACTGAAATCAGGATTTCACACATTCCTGGTGAAGTGCCCTGTCCTCCCAGCCTCCTTTTATCCTTCTGTGCTCCCTCCTGTCCTCCCTCCCTGCCTTCCTTCCTGTATACATGTGTGGGAGGCACATAAGCAGGTTAAAGGACGACTTGCAGGAGCTGGTTCTCTTTCCACCATCTAGGTTGTGGGGATCAACTGAACCTGGGTTATCAGGTGAGGCAGCAAGTGTCTTTACTGCTGAGCCATCTTCCCCTGCCCTCTTATCCAGATATTTAGAGCAATTGTTTGAAGTTGTTGTTGATGGGATAGCAAGACCCTTTACAGTAGATGAGTTTTGTCTACAAAAGAGTTCTTCAAGCAGCAGGATAAATTTTACAGTGGATTCTATTCTTTAGTTCATATGCCATCTTTGATTTTATTTTCTTTGATAATTTCATACATGTAAATACAGATTTGGGGACATTTTCACATCCCAGATCATCTCACAAGAGGATCTTCCTAACCTTTCTCCCTAACACTTTCCTTACTACATTGATGTCCTTTCCCCCCTTCCCACTGTGCTGATTACAGGTGTGTGTGTGTGTGTGTGTGTGTATGTGATAATTTAATTCACTTACACTTAACATGATTACCATCCAAGAAGGGTTTAAGCCATTAAGTTGCTTTCTCCATGTCTTATCCTTCGCTTGTCAATTTTTATTATTGTCATTTTTTGTTGTTCAGTTGGTTCTTTTTGTATCATTCTACTTTGATCTCCTCTTCTCCCTTTCTGTGCATTTTAAGTTGTTTTGTTGATGATTAGTTTGAAAGCTGTAATTAACATCATGATCTTATAAAAACCTTACCTGAATAAAACCAACGTAAGATTCAGTATCTTGAATTTAAATGAGTTCCTATGTGTTTCTTGTCTCCCCTCCCTTTAATGAGGCCATATATTACATTTTTATATATTACATGGCAACTAATATACATTTATAATTTTTCATTCATTGGCCTTTTGGACCACATAGAAAGGAGAGAATTGTTGATCCAAATACAACAGTCATTGTTCTGCATGATTACCATCATCATTGTCTAGGACACTTCCATTTCAGTCTGAAGATTTTCTTTTATTATTTCTTGTAGAGATTTACTGAAAATGCACTTCTCAACTTCTGCTAATCCAGAAACATCTTCATTTATTCTTCATGCTACAAGGATAGTTATTTCCAATAATAATTCTAAGGTTCTGTTTCTCTTTGTTTTCTTTGTTTCCTTGTTTATTTACTTTTGGATTTTAAGTACCTGGGAGTGGCCTGACTTTCCTTATGTGGTCTAGGCTGGGCTAGAACTTGTGATGTGCTGTCTTGACCTATCGAGTATAAGGATTACAGACACACACCACCAGGTCTGTCAGCTGCAAATACACTGTCCACTTCATCCATCTTCCATGGTATCTGATGAGAAATGGGTGTTGGTGATTACTAAGGATTCCTTTATACAAGGAGTTACTTCTCTTGTTTGCAGTTTTCCTTTGGTGGATTTCTGTCTTTGTTGGTTACTTTGAATGAGGGACCCCGGAGAGAGCTGCTCCATCAGTTTGCATCTGTATATATTTCTGGACTTGCTATTCTAATCTGCAGAACTTTTAGACTGTTCATGCATTTGGTTATGAAAACCTTATAATGTGTATTTATATCTAAGTAGAAAATACACATTTTTGTGTATTAGCCTAATCCTATAGTTATGTATGAATCTATCTTGGCATTTAATTTTTGATGATTTATAGATAAAGAAAATACATCTCCATGGTTTAAACAAAACTATTTCCAAACAAGGGACAATTAAGCACCATGTCATTTGAATTTTCCTTTTGTCTGTAATAATTTCTCGGTCTTTCCTTGCCTTTATTGTACATTTTGTACAATATTATTCTATTGGAGGGGTTGCTAATTTCATAATTATAGTGTCTTTAAGACTTGGGGAAAGCATCGCCTCTGTGGGATATTTTCCTCACACTGTCATGTCATAGCAAGGGTTATATGACACCAGTGTGAGCCGTCACTGTT